GTAATTTCTCACTTTCTATCTCTCTGTTTCTCTGTCTTTCTGGCAAGCTCACGTGCCCTATGACAAAAACCTCTCAAAAAAAAAAAAAGTGTCATTGTGTTGCAGTCCAGAGTTGCCCCTGGGCCAGCAAGTGCTTTCGTGCTAGCCCAGGGTGCCTGGCAGTGACCCTACAGGACCTCTCCACAAGAGAAATCTGAGGGGGGTAATCAGACTTCAGCAAGTCAGCGTATGTGTGACAAGTGTTAAAAAAGGACCATGGGCTATGGATCAAGACCCAGGAAGGAAAGGGAGTCAGGATCATGTTCTGCCTTCCTACAAAACTAGAGGAGCCAATCATTGAAAAGGAAATTAAAAAAAATAAAGTTCTGGGGCCAGCAGGGGGCATGGTGGTTGAGGGTACTGGACTCTCACATAGCCAACCATGGTTTGAGTCTTGGACCTGGTAGCTTGCTTTCTCATTTTCCCTTTCTCTCTTTCTCTGTCTCTCAAGTTGAAAAAACAAAACAAAAAAAAGAGATAATAAAGTTAAATAAAAATAATTATTTAAAATAAAAATGTTCTGTGGGCACTGAGTTTCCTTTTGTGCTCTTTCTGGTCACCTTCTCACTTGTCTTCCTTGTAACCAACGTGAACATCACACAGTAGAGGCTGCTAAGACAGCAGATTGGCTCTGTCTACGGCCAGCATATCGACTAATTTAGCTTTCACTGAAATTTTTTGCATACCCTCTTATTCAGAACTTTTGAACATTAGACATAAGACTATACAATAATTAAAGAGCTGTTGACACCATTTCATCTATACTTGTCATTCACATCCTCCAAACAGCATTAGGCCATCAGCTGGTCTACGCTCAAGGAATCGTAAAGAAAATATGTTCTTGCCCCCAAGGAATTTGCATTTTGGAAAACATTTCGACATACACCAAACTGAGATGCATGTCAACCAAGAAATCTATGAAAGGACCAGCAGGTGGCGTGGTGGTTAAGGCACTAGACACTCCCACATGGCCAACCATGGTTCGAGTCCTGGATTTAGTGGCTTGCTTTCTCACTTTCTCTCTTTCACTCTCTCTCTCTCCCTCTCTCTCTCTCTCTCTCTCTCTCTCTGTGTGTGTGTGTGTGTGTGTGTGTGTGTGTGTGTATGTATGTTTCTGGTCAAATTAAAATAGATTAATGAATAAATAAAATTAAATAAATAATTCTTTTTTTAAAAAAGAAGAAATCTATTAAACACTTGCCCTTTGATCACAAGCAGACCCCCAAATTACTTTCATTTTGCATTGGTATCTCAGTGGTAAATGCATCTCTGATCATCCATCCAGTCAATAGAAGTCTTCCTAGTTTCCCTGTTTACATTTAAACTCAGAAACGACCTGACACCTGAGAGGTCGGTGAAAGCTACGTGAGCAATAATGCTATCTCCCCTCAGATACAGCTACTTATAAATTCTGATCCAATCCTATTTGTTTTGTTTTGTTTTTTCTATAGGAAGCATGTGCTCACAGAAGAACGACAGACACAGAGAGTGAGAGAGAGAGAAATGAGAAATCACCTCCCAGAGGGGATGGCCACACCACAATCCTTTCTCCTGCATTCTCCTCTCAGAATTTTGGGCACACACACACAGTGTGTTTTCAGTCTCTGGGTCCAGCCCATGGTTGGCTATGTGGGACCCAGTACCTTAACCACCACACTAAGAGCTGGTCCATGCTCCTTTCTTTTTTTAGGTTTTGTCAGAGGGCATGTGTGCTCACTAGAGAGAGCCAGAGAGAGAAGAGAAACAGTGACAGGGAAGTGAGAAGTCACCCTCTGGGGGAATGGCCACATTTCTCCTGGGATTTGGGTTTGTATGCACATGTGCCCTGAATGGGTCTCAAACCACCAGACCCAGACCACTACTGACAACCAAACTTGTGAGAGTTCAGTGCCTTAACCTCTATACCACCTTCTGCTCCCTTCACGACCCCCGTGATCCAGTTCTAAAAGGAACCTCCTGCTTTGCTTTAGCCTTGGTGTCTTCCAGACTGTTACATTGCTGGAATTGCTTCTAGGCATTAGTAAGTAGAATTATTTCTTTGGTTTGCATTAGAATGTTCATCCAGGGGTCAGCGGGTTGCATGATGGTTGAGGGGCTGGATTCTCACATGGTCTGTGTTTCAAGTCCCACATACAGTGGCTTCAAAAATCACAACAAATAAATAAATAAAAATTAAAATAAAAGAAAGACAGGAAAGAGAATGTTTGTCCAGTGGTGCCAAACATGGTGCTGCCGTATAACATTTGATCCCAATTATTTTTTTCTCCTGCTTGACTTTTCCTCTCATCAAATTAATGGGGACATTGTATAGTGAATACAGCAATCTAGAAAAGAGGAGAAAACATGAGTAGAAGTACTACACCACCTCCACATAGCAATTCTTAACCTTGGGGCTTTTCTAGGATCCAAGCCCTCACAGACTGCTTTCTTCACACTTTTCCAACTTGATCTTGGGCTTAAACAAAACTTCTGGTTCAACTATTGGGTTGTCCAGAAAGTCATGATGCATTTTTGCATAGAAAAACAAAGAAAAATATGTCATGACTTTCCCAACAACCTAATACATTTATCTATTTGTTTTTCTTTTTTCTCTTTGAAAGAAAAAAAAAAAAAGACCCTGATCAGTCACTAATCAATAAAATATCACAGTCAGATGCCTGTCTTCAAGTCTCCTTTCATGTCATTCTCCTAAAATACTCTTCCCTCAACTAAGACCTCCTTCTTCAGATTAAATGTGGCACATATACTCTATGGAATACTACTCAGCCATAAGAAACAACAAGGCTCTGGAATTTGATAGAAAGTGGACAAATATGGAAGATCTGTTGCTGAGTGAAGCAAGTCAGGCTATGAAAAAGACATTGTATGTCTCCACTTAACACATTCTTACTGTCTGTACTCCATAGTAGACTGAAAGACTGGAGGACATAAAAGCAGTAAAAACTGTTGCAGACACTAGAGACAAAATGGAAAGACAGGAAAGAGCATTGGAAAGGAAATTTGGGGAAAGACATAGAGGTAAGACATTTGTGGAACACAGATATGGTCTATTTTTTGTTGATGAAGACGTGCATAATATTCTCAACTGGGCTGGACTGAGGTATATATTATGCTGGGTAAAGTCACTTTATAATCTAAATGATATACAGTGATTAAATGTAGAAATAATAATAATAAAGTCACATAGAAAAAAAAAATTCAATATCCTTAACTTCCATGAAGCTCATCAGAGCACCCTAAACCCTCAGGTTCCTTTCTCTTCTTACCTGTGGTAACATTTATCAGCCATATGAGGCACGGAATGTACACAATACACACTCTGTCATAGACATAGAACACTTCCTGCAGGTGAAGACTTTTTGTCCTGGTCATAATAAGACAAACCAGAATGAAAGCAAGTCATGGTTAACAATAGTGGAGGTTTGGTTAGGACATTCTGACATGATCTTAGCCATTTCCAGACCCGGTTCTGCTGAGCAAGGGGGTTTGCCCAAATTTTCCCCAACCTAAAGTAAGATGCTTCTTTTTTTTTAAAGAATGATTTATTTAGGGGCCAGCAGGGGGGTGGTTAAGGCACTGCACTCCCCTATGGCAGAGGGCGGTTCAAGTCTTGGACCCAGCATCTTGAAACTCATGCCAGCTGTGTGTGCCTGCATGCCCAAAATTCCAAGAAGAGAGAATGGAGGAGAAGGAATTGCCATGTGGCCATCCCCCCAGGGGGGTGGTGTCTCAGTTTCTCTCTCCCTGTCATTTTCGGTCTGGTGAGCACACAAACCCTAAATCCCTCTTGAAAAAAAATTTGATAGAAAATTGTCAAATATGGAAGATTTATTGCTGAATGAAACAAGTCAGGCTATGAAAGATACTGTAAGTATCCACTTAATATATACCAACTATCTGCACTATATGATAGAAACTGAAATATTGGAGGGCATAAAAGCAGTGAAAATAGTTATGGATGCTGAAGACAGTGTGGAACGGGGGTGGGGAGAGGGAAGAGTACAGAGAAGGATAGCATGAGAACAAATAGAGAGGCATGACATTAGTGGGACACAGAAATGGTTTATTACCTGTTGATGATAGCATGCATAGTATTCTCACCTGGACTGGTCTGAGATGTATTTCATGTTGGGTTAAGTCTCTTTACAAGCCAAATGATGTATAGTGATTAAATGTTTAAAAATATAATGAGAATGAAAAAAAGAATAATAATATGGAAAGCTATTTGATGATTAAAAAAAGAATTCCTTAATTTTACTTATGATTATTTTAAAGAGAGAGAGAGACGGGAGTGGGGGTGGAGTGAGAAAACAAACCACCAGGTCTGGGACTTGAACTGTGGTTGCACGGCACCTTTACCACCATGCCACCTACAGGCCCCCAAAATTAAGTTTCTTTAACCAAATCAACCAGTAGCTACCTGTGTGTGTGTGTGATGAGTAGGGGGTATGATGAGTAGATGTTTCCTATCACTGAAGTAATGGTTTGAAACGTTCAGTAGAATTTTGTTGTATATGTGTCTGAACACTGTTACATCGACAGAATTGTGCCATTAAAATAGTCAATGTTTTTATAACATCTTTTATTGTTCTCTCAACTTACTCTATTATTGGAGACCAGGAATACTCTGAGAAGGCAACCAGTGAAAATCAAGCATTCGACAGAAGTCATTCACACCACCGAAGAAATACCAGCTCAGCAAAGAAAAGCCTGGCTTTCTAAACAGTGAGGGGAGACCAGTAAAACCAGCCCAGTGTCTGTGATTCCTCCAGGTTTCCTGGTTTGAAAGCCCAGGTTTAAAAAGCTTCTGCAGAGAGAGATCAGGTTACCTCTGCCAGCTGCCCGAAAACTTTACACTTAACCCTTCACAGTCCTCATCCTGGGTCTTACACCTCCATCTCCCTTACTAGAAAAGGCATCTTCAAGCGTCTTTACATTTCCCTCCATTTTCTTCTCTACAGACAAGTAACGGCCAAAGCCCCAGGTGACGCTGCCGGTGCCTCACGCTCATCTCTGGAGGCCTGTGCTGAGGACAGAGCCCCTGTGTGCCATATTCGCAGTGCTCCAGCATCCACAGTAAACGCATGTGTTAAATGAATGCCGATGTGCTTTTTAGATGCCTAATTGCAGCCTGTAGTCAGCAATGAGAAACCTGCCAACATCTTTTCATCATGAGCACAAACCTTGCCCAAGATTCCTAAGTTGTCAAGGGTCCAGTCAATTCATTCATTCATTCATTCATTTGCCGACTCATTTATTCACCCACCATTCACTATTCATTTTTGAGAACCAATGTGTTTCAATTAACAAAAAATGAAGAAAGGATTTTAGAAGTGTTTGCTTCGGAATCTAATATTCCTTACTAGACCCAAGAATTCTCTTTGAAAGTTGAAATTATCATTAGGCATGAGATAAATAAGGAATAGGCAGGTCTCTGTCCACACTCCTTTTGCAGCTCACTCCAGAAAGTCTACATGCAGAATACAAATATGCAATCCTGGATATTTGTAAACTCATACCAGGAGGAAGCAGGAGGTGATCAGGAGCACACATTTTGATATCAAACAGCCTGGGCTCAGCTTCCAGTTCTGCCCCTAGGTTCAGGAGTGAGCTTGGGAGCAAAGGCCCACGGTTTGGACGGTTTGGACGAACCCAGGAGGCAGCGGGGCGGGGCGGGCCTGAAGGAATGAAACTCTTGACTTCCCCTTGAACAATCACTTTCCTGAGGGAATCTTTCTGAGTTACTCAGTGCTATCCTGAGAGTCACTTTTCAGCTGGAAGCAGTTAAAATCATCTCAGCCTTGGATTCTAAGGGGTCAGTCAAGGCTGCAATTTTATTTTATCACATTACGGTCCCACACACAGAAGACGTTCTCAGCGATCATGAAATGCTTTCTAGGAGCTGGCTCAGTCCCTACAAATTTACCACCCTATTTCTTCAATTAGGAAAAGCCATTTCTGGGGAGAAAAAAAAATAGAGAGCTCCTTCAAGGGTTTTATAGTCAAATATACCAAAAACTGTTGAGGGTCTTGTGTTTGCCATTTGGCAGAGGGAGGCCACAGGATCATATGTCATATGCTCTTGCTTACAGAGAAGAGACCCAGGCTGGGGGTGGGGGTGGGGGAAGCTAAGAGCAGAGATGGAAGAGTAGGCCTCAATTTCACAAAAGGGGATCATGGGAGGAAGGACAGGGAATGAAATAATTGATACTCTTGCAATGAGCACTTACAAAAGCCCATAAATACTACACGAGGCCAGCAGGTGGCGTGGTGGTAAAGGCACTGGAATTCCCACATGGCTGATCATGGTTTGAGTCCTGGACCTGGTGACTTGCTTTCTTGCTCTACTTCTCTCTCTCTCTGTCTGTCTTTCTCTGGCAAAACGCATGTGAAAAAATAATAATAGCCAAATAAATAAATAACATAGTTCTTAAGAAAAAAAAAATAACTACAGGAGGCCCAGGCCTCTGTACTTGCCATCACAGAGAGGGGCAGCCCTGTAGGTCTTCGTTTGCATCTCCAAAAATGGCGTTCTGTGACTCAATAAACCACATACTTCTGGAAGCTTCTATTTTATCATCTCTAAAACAGGAACAATCCCTAGCACTGGATTTGGCAAGCATTTGTTGCTGTTTTGTTTTGTTGTTTTTGGTAGGTTTTTGCCATAAGTCACATGCACTCACTGGAGAGAGACGGAGAGAAGGAAAATGAGAAATCACATCCTCCCATCCCCCCAGGAATAGCCATGCTGCAATCCCTTCTCCTCCATTCTCCTCCTGGGGTTTTAGGCATGCACATGCATCTGGTGTGATTTTTAAGCCACCAGGTCGAGGGCTTGAATTAAAGTTTACCATGTGGGAGTCCAGCGCTTTAACTACCACACCACCTCCTGGCCCCTTGGCAAGATTTTTTTGAAAGAGGACTAGATAGCTAATATTTGCAACTTTGTGGATCATACAGTGTCTGCCAACTCCTTGGCTTTGCCACTGTAGCATGAAAGTAGCCATAGACAATAGTCCTTCCAATAACAAATGTGGGTAAATTAGGTTTGCAGGTCTCGGCTTGCCCATTCCCTATCTTAATCCCCTGTTTTAATAGGGAGGGTGTTGTGAGGATTAAATGAACTAACTCAGGTGACATATTTAGTCCAGTGTGCTGTAGGTAAGTGCTTAGTAAGCACTGGCTACTATAGACTGGCTTGGTGGCACAGTGGCAATGTGGATCCAGGTGGGAGATCACGAGTTCAATTCCCCGGTTAACTTATACATGTCAGGTACAGACTCCCAGATCCTGGCTGCCTGGGAAGGCCGGGGTGGGGTGGAAACCACAGCATGAAAACTTGTTGAGAATGCTCTCTCAAGCTCATGAATGAAACTAACATTTTAAAAAGATCCAACTGCATCCTTGCTCTGACCTTCGTCACTCCCATCTGTGTGTACGTCAGCAAGTGAGGCTGTCCTCAGTGCTCCTCAGGAGCTACTCCCAGTCCTTCCTCTCTCGAGTCCATGGCGAGTATCACAGACTGAGTTCTCTGAGAACAATCCGGAGACAGAGTCAAGTGTAAGAATGTGTATTAAAGGTCCTAGGGAACATCCCGTGTGGACAGAAGTAAGCTAGACTGGGCAGAGAACAGTCACATCGCCCAACAACAGGTTTCACAATCAGGGAACTGGTTTGAAATCGTCTTTAACACTTCCAATAGCATTATCATAACTCACACTAGCATTTGCACCAATTCACTAATTTAATGCTCACAACAACCTATGTATGAAATGAGTATCATTATTTTTAGTTTTTTCCCTTTATTCATGATATAGCACATGGGTATGCTTTCAGAGTGAGAGAGTGAGGAAGAGAGAAGTACCCTCCATAGGGTCTGGTCAAGCCACAATTCCTTCCTTCAGTCCTTCCAGCCCATCACATCCTGGACACACACACACATGTCCAGAGTGTTTCAGACTAACCAGGAAGGAAATTCAAACTGTAGTCAGCACGTGGGATCCAGCTGCTCTTGAGCAGGAAGGTACCATGTGCCATGGTGCGAGCCTACACAGGTACCGTTAATATCCCCATTTGGGACCAGCAGATGGCATAATGGTGATGTCACTGGACTCTCATGTGGTCGACCAAGGTTCGAGTCCCAGACCCAGCGGCTTAAACCTCTTGCTGTCACATGTGAGTGCGTGCCCAAGATCCTGAGAGGAGAATGAAGGAGAAGGGATTGTGACATGGCCATCCATCCCCACTGGGGGCTGATTTCTCGCTTTCTTTGTCTCTGTCTCTCCAGCAAGTGCACATGCCCTATGGCAAAAATCTCTCTTTCAAAAAAAGAAAAAAAAAATCCCCATTTTTAGAGATGAGAAAACTGATACTTAAAGAGGTTTGTTAATTTGCACAAGGTCAGCAGTTGCAAACACCAAATCCAGCTCACTGCCTGCTTTTGTTAATAAAGTTTTATTGGAACATAACACACCCTTTCATTACATATTGTATAATCATGGCCATTCCTGTGCTATAGTAGCAGAGTTGAATAATTGCATGTGGCATGAAAAGCTTAAAATACTTGCCATCTGGCCCTTTACAGAAAAAGTTTGTCCACTCTCACCCTCTAATAAATGGTAGAGTCTGGTTCCAAACCCAAGTTGTCTGACTCCAGAGACAACACTTATAACTCAGATATAAATATATACCAGGTAGGCTCAGAACTTACAGGAATGTTATGAAACTTTTCCATTTTAATTTTCCTTATGGTACGTATTTTAATGGAAACATTTTCTGATGTTTATTTCTAGCAAAATGACAGACTTCATATCCTGAAAACCCTCCCCTAAAAAGCACCTTTAAAATGCTGGATAAAATGAACAGCTGACTTGGCAAGATATTAAGGGATCCTAAGCCCCAGAGGCCAAAAATATGAAGTGGAAGCCAGAATCCAGAAAAAGCATTGTAAATACTCAGTCAGGAAGACAGCAGAACCTAGGGGCATTTGCTCATGTTTTGTAAATAAGAGCTTTCAGTTTTAACAACCACCTGGAGTGGAGGGAAGAGGAGAGGGGAGACAGGTGACAAAATGGTGTACTATCAGCCTGAAGACTTTGGAATAAGTCCCCAAAGGCCCGCATCCTAGCAAAGTGGTGAACGAGAAAATATACGCCACGCAGAGGGAAACAAGCAAGAAGGTTTTGCATCTTGGCCTTGATTTTTTGGTTGGAAAGAAAAATAAAAGTTCCTACCTCCCCTGAGAGGTAATAAATAAACACCAGTCAGTCTTCAAGCCTGGGTTCAAATTTACTCTATGAGGTTTATTTTTTGTTTTGTTTTGCCAGAGGGCATGTGTACTCTCCTGAGACAGAGAAAGTGAGAAAGTACCCCTGAGAGGGAATGGTCATGCCACAATCCCTTCTCCTCTCATTTCTCCTTCCTTTCAGGATTTTGAGCATGCACACACACATACCCAACGTATTTCTTTTTTTTTTTTTTTTTTTTGAGAGGGTTTTGCTATAGGGTGCATGCGCTCGCCAGAAAGACAGAGAGACAGAAAGTGAGAAATCACCCCCCAGGGGGGATGGCCACGCCGCAATCCCTTCTCCTCCATTCTCTTCTCGGGATCTTGGGCATGTTCAAGTTCCGGACCCGGAGGCTTGAAACTCACACTGGGCACATGTGCGTGCATACCCAGAATTCCAAGAGGAGAATATAGGAGAAGGGACTGCAACATAGCCATGCCCCCGGGGAATGATTTCTCGATTTCCCTCTGTCTCTTTCTCCAGAAAGTGTTACATGTCCTATGACAAAAAAAAAAAAAAAAAAAAAAAAAAATTAAAGAACAAAAAAGGCCACTTGGATAGTTTAAAATCAGCTAGGGAAAAAGCTTATCTGTTTGACATCGGACTTATTGATACTAAGGTAAGCTAAAGGATTGTAAGTTGTCTTTGATGTGCTAAAGAAAAGAATTGTCCATTTATAATGGCATACCCAGAAAAACCTAACTTTCATGATGAGGATAAAATAGGATGTGTTTAGATGAACAAAAGCTAAGATAATTTAGCTCGTAAGGGAATTTATTAAGGATAGATACTGCCAAAAAGGAAGAAAAAG